TCTATGCGGTGGATAGTGGCCTCATTTCCATACCTTGTGAGGCGTTTCAAGTTGCTGGGATAAATAGTAAGAAAAATGGAATGCAGATTTGTAAAATGATCTCCGTAACGAATCTTAAGTAAATGAGATTTGAGCGGATTTGAGGAAATTACTATAAAATGTCAGGAGAGCGACTTAGAAATATTCTGCAATGTAGATCGTGCATATACTATATGTACATTAAGACGGGTCATTTTTTATAGGAGACTTTTTCGCCTATGCGCATATAACACTGAAAGATGCTACGTGAAGTTTTAAGAAAATTTTAGGAAGAAACAATGGGCATAAAATCAATTTGCAGTTTTCCATAGGTTTCTTAGTATTTTAAGGTAGTTTCGCAAAAATTTGCTTAAATTTTTTGTAAAACATGCTATGAGGAATCCATTTCTGTACTTATGTTTTTCTTAAAACTTTCACCAGAGAGCGCAACTGTGAAAATTTTCAAAATTTTTTCTAAACTTATTTTCGCAATTAGGCAAACTCCAAATTGATTTTAGACCCATTTTTTTCTTCGAAAAATTTACTTATAATTACATATAGAACCCTTCTATAGTCAAACAAAATTGGCCCGCCCTAATGTACATATATTTATACCATTCACCATTCAGAAATATTCGTTGGATTCTCTTATTTCTTCTAATTTTCTCCTAATTTATCAGCCGTTATGCATTTCCAACCTTTTCTCGCTATCCATACTCAGTAACTGCCGGCGACTGGAGTAATTGGGTGGCGGAAGGGGCGCCTCATTCATATTTCAACTACGATGACAACAAGCTTGGCAGTTTGTTGCAAGTGCAACGTTGCAACGTCGCTAGTTGTTGACGACGTCGTGCGGACATCGTTTTTTGTTTTTGTATTTATTTTTTATTTTGTTTCATTATAACAACCTTACGCGCCACAAGTGGTTTGCATCAATCGGCAATTAAATTAGTTACGATTACGATCGTGTCGTGTGTAGTGATACACACACACACATGTCATGCCACGCCACGTTACCCATAGCATTGCAACTGCACACTTTCCGCACCGCAGTCTGGCTTGCCATGCTTGCACACGAGATTATTACTTATTATGTGTGCAACTGATGCAATCGCGTTCTCTTCGACAGCTGCAGTCCTCCCCTCTATCCCTGATTGGAGAGTGATTTTTTGAAAGCGTAATAAATCATGTAGTTGTCTGTTGTTGTGTTCCTTTTGTCGATGTTGATATTGTTTGTGTGACACTTTTGCTGTTGTCGTTGACACATTTGACGTTTCATTAGTTCCTCATTCGCGTGCTTTTAAATGAGCTTAGGAGTATCTGTGTTTGACAGTTTGGGTCATTTGGTCAGGTTTGACAATTTTCCGTGGTAAAACGTATAAAGGTACGTATACATATATAGTATACTTGTATGCAGGTTAAGTTAAACGGCTGTGTTTAAGTGTTCGTACAAACTTTCAGCTGGAGGCATGTTTGGACATTGTGCGTGCCTTCTATGAGTGCCAAGAAAGTATCCTTATAGTATCAAATGGTTTCATTTCCGTTATCTCTGCCAAGGTGGTGAAAATCTTGATACCACCGGAAAGAATTCTTAGGTTGATTTTAGAGTGCTTTCTCTAATTGTTTAGTTCCGATCATTGTGTTATGAAGAAATTAACAGTACTGCTAAAATTTTATATGAGCATTAAAGGTGCTTTTTTTGCTTAAAATTTACTTGTTAATTTTCTTTTTTGGTTAATTTGATTTATATTTATTTGATTCATATTAAATATACCCTTTGATTACTTAAATATATCTACAAGCTCACATGAAAGGTGTGCGCCATTTTATGCTGGGCGGTGCCACGCCCATTTTTAAAAATGTATGACAATATAATTTTCTGCTAAGAAGTTATCCCAACCATAGATTTTAAGTGAATTAGCTTAATTACATAATTACGGATTTATCGCAGTTTTCGCATTTCAATAAATTACTGTCAAATGGGAAATGGGCGTGATTATTTCCTGATTTGAAAAATTTTCAACGGTTTCCTCCGTAAGACCCTAAGCGGTGTTCCTACTCAGTTTGGTATCATCGCAAGCCCGATTTTGCCCATACCAACCTGCCTTGTATAAATGACAACCTATGTACTATACTTTGTGGAGATATCTCATATTTTACTCGAGCTATCGTGTGCTCGGATGGACGAGCAGGCAGACATAGCCTAATCGATTTATCTTCTTATTCTGAGCAAATGGCTACATCTATTTCGATGCCTTTAGGCTGTTAGGCGCTCGAGTATAAAAAATATATTTTCAAAACAAGCTTTGCAAATATGAACCACATCAGGCCGTAAGCATGAGTTTTTCAAATAATTCTACCCCAACGCCACCTAACGGCCAAATCTTTTGTGGAGTTATTTTCTTCCATATAGGTAATATATGTACATATATTCCAAGTATTAACCAAATTGGACTATATGTACGGGTTTTTAACCGACTCCCAAAAAAGGAGGAGGTTATCAGTTCGTCGGAATATTTTTTTTAAATTTTTTTATTTTTTTATGTATGTTACCGCATAACTTTGGACCACATCAACCGATTTCGAAAATTCTTTTTGCATAGGAAAGATAGTATATCAAAGGTGGTCTCATACTAATCTGGTTTGGATCATGAAATATATGATGGATCATGAATATATACATATACATATTTTTATATGTATGAGAATTGTAGTCGGTTTTGTTTTTCCTTCTTTTTTTCCTTGTGAACACATCCAGTTTAGTTTTGGAAGGGTTAACTCCTAGCCCCTTTTGTGTTGGGCACTTAGAAACTTAAGTTTTATTCTAAAGATGAAGTGCTTGTTGGCCTAAAAATACCCTGCTTTTGAAATAAATATCACCTCCATCCTAGCATTGGCTGCATATCCATCGGCAAGTATCTTATAAAGACATTCACAAGAGCGTTACAATATAGGTGGCACCACCGCATCCGTTACTGCTGCTTTAAAGGGACCACATGGAACACGTCACATTTTTTATAACAGTACATATTATTGTCCAAATATCGTTATGGGAACGTTTTTAGTTATCACTAAGCGCTGTAAGTCAGCTTGATTTTTCTCATAATTTTTTTTTTATATATTTAAGTTTATTGAAGTCTTCACACCTCATTCGGAACTTTAGCACATCAACGGCACACTTGTCAAAATATGACATGTTTATCAATCAATCATTTTCTGTAGATGACCTATAATTTTTCTATGTAGTACGTTTCATTCAATTTTGTTGTTGTACCAAATTACTTTTATGTAATGATTCTTCATTCACTTCTTTTCCATCTCTAATCAAAATTTAGTTTAAATGAAAGCCATAGAATTTACTTAATTTTTGTGGGCTAACTGTGCTTGTTATCGCATCTTTGTAGCGCCATCATCAAATAACGTTTACCAAAACATATTTATGTACAAACAAAGCATAACTTTGTATTTTAGGTGTAGCTACGCATGCTCTTCATAAGAAATTTCCATATCTCATTCAAAGCGCCAAAAGTTAACATATGTACACTTATAGATGTATATGTAGGTACCTACATGTATGCGCTTGTATAGGCGTGAACCAAAAGATGTTTTGTAACTTGCTCGGTATCCAATGTATAAGTATCCAATGAGCAAATGATTTAACGACCGAATGGGTCATGAAATTCAAATTCACAGAGTTGTAAATGCAAATTAAACAAAGATTTTGATCACATTTTGCTTGTTAAGGAATTGTTGTAGTATTATATCTATTGAAAGGAGGGTTAATTTGAAAATATGTATGTTTCTAGAGTGTCGAGTAGGTATTCAAAACTCTCAACTATTTTGTGGGCGTGTATGTTCGAATTTTAGCCCTGAAACCAACGTAACAAAAAATAAAATAAATAAACAAAGTTACGAATGTTTGCAGTGTGTCTCATGAGCCACATTTTCTATAGAGCCCCCGCTTCCCCTTTCTTGCCACCTCTACTGCTGACGACTTAGTGCCCAAGGTTTTTATTAATTTAATCGAGTGCACCAGTTACGCGCACAGATTTAAATCGCAATCAAGTTGGGACATAGTTAGTTCACATAAAATTTCAATAAAGGAATAGTAAGGAAATTTAAATTTAATTAAATGGTTGTTATTGTAACGAAACTTCGATTTTCTTCAAACCGCATTCACTGTTTAAAGCTACATGTTAATCATGCAATTTCCAAGCCGAGGCGTCCTGAAATATAGTTTTGTATAAGCTATAGATTACATTTGGTTTGAAGCTAAGCGCCTTGTTCTTCATGGCTGCTTAATTGCCAGCAAAAACTACGAGAAGGCGACAAAGGCGATATAATGCAAAGAAAATACGCTCATATTGCTTCACCAAAGTCGAGGGGAAGAGTAAACTGGATGAATTCTCAGTACAGACATTTCAACGCGATGCTAAACTGACTGAGAGTTACCTCATATAAAACTAACTGAGTACCTTCAAAGCCAAACGAACCGATATGAGATGATATTGATATTTTAGATCCGATATTTTTCAGGTATCGATACTTTCGTTCGATACTTCTGGCAAAATATTTTTTTTTATTTACACTTTGATTTCAACATATTTTGATTAAAAGAAAAATACTGATAAAAATAAAATATTTCACACAAACAACAAAATATATAATCGAAAATCCCATGAGGCTATCGCCTGAAAATTTTGAAATGCACTTAGTGGCATTGTGCTACTATGATAGCACGGCCCAGTAATCATAGTCAACTTATGTGCAATAGACTGCATCACTCTACATACAACAAAAAAAATCGGTACTGTTTTTCCACTGAAATTATAAAACCTATTATATTTTAAGACTTCCAACAAAATATCTCTCAATAATATTAACAGTTACGTGAGCTGGACCGATTTGAAAATACCTCCAAAAATTTAGTTTTTTATTAATAAAAAGTTGTTTGTTAATATTTTTTGAAAAAAATACCTCTGAAGACTATACTTCACAGGATCATTTCTGTAGTCAGTCTTCATTTACTTTCATTGCAAATTGAAAGAAGCTAAAATTATATGTTTACTATTAACATATATTAATTCATATTTAAGTTTCTTTGACCGAAATTTTGTCATAGAGCGTCGTTGTTTTCAGCTGGTGCACTTTATTTTAACTCTTAAAATGAAAAAATCTAGGGTATACCGATTATCTATGCATAAAAACTAGATATCTATTTATTTTAAGGCATTATTTAGTAAATTTTCACAAAAGGTCGAACAAATTTCGTATACCTTTTCACATTTAATAATGTTTCCTTAAGGAAATTTTAAAATTTACTAGCTTTTGTAAAAAAAACAAATAATGTTATTTATCTGAGATGGCAAAGATGTCGTTATATTCTTGATTTTCTATATTACATTTTTTTTTAACAGTATTTGGCATGAATAAACATTGCAGCAGGTCGATATTGACGGAACAATAAAAAAAAAAATTGGATAGTACTTTATTTTACATATTTTTATCTCAATATTAACTTTATTTGGATACCTGAGTTGAAATTCGACCTATCCCGGCAGCCAGTTCGGAAACGCCCTATCTCAGAAAACTTTCCAAGAACACCCTACTTCAGAATTTGAATAAAGAACGCCCTATTTCAGAATTTTATCGAAAAACACCATATCTTAGAATTTGGTTGAAGAACGTTCTATCTCAGAATTCGGTTGAAATATGCCCCATCTTAGCTGAAAATACATTGAAAATATGCTGAGATAGCGCGTTCTTGAATCGCCAGCTAAGATAAGGCGTCCTTCAGCCAAATTCAGAGATAGTATGTTTTTCAGTCAAATTCTGAAGCCTTGAAAAATTTTCTCAGATAGGGCGTTTTCGAACTGGCTGCCGAAATAGGTCGATCTTCCACTTCCACTCAGGTAACGATTTAGTCTTTACTTATAGAGGGTTTATAACAGTTTTCAATTTGACTAGATGGCGGCATGTCATCAGGCAAAGCACGGCATTCGCTGGTTCTTGGTGCTAGCTAGCCTTCAAATAGTTAACTCAAGAAAAATAGTTGCAACAAAACCAAGCGAGACAAAGAATCAAGAAAAACTTACAAGAAACTGGCCAGCTGGCCAACGCATCGATATCAATGCATTCATAAGCAGCAGCAAACAGCACAACAATATCTATATTTTGTAAATGTAGGACCAACAGTAACAAAAACAAACTAACAAAAAAACAAAACTTACAGAATACGTGTAGGCGCAAAAACAATTGAATCGATCGCGCACGATCGCAAAAGCGACAAAGTAGTTCACCAACGTCGATAACACGATCAGAACATGTACATATGTATGTACGTGTTGGCTCTTTTGTTCTTATTATCGCTGCAGTTGGCTCATGAATATTAAAAAGTTAAAATATGGACAACTAGAGTTTTTAATATATTTAATACAAAAAAAAAAAACTTTCTTGTTACTGGAAGCTGCGGAAAAAATGCAACAAGTGAAGCTCAATGCACGTGCGAATGGTGTACACGTCTATAACCATCGCATTGAATGCGTGATTTTAAAAAATAGTGTATATACATATGTATGGGAAGAATTTATTGATCCTATTCTTTGGTCGGCGTAGGTATCTGTGATGTCAAATAAATATAGAAGGCCAGGGAAACGAAAGAAAAGTTTTACTTGCATTTGCAATAAAATTTTTAAAACTTCATTGAATTTTTACTGTTTGTGAATATTATGGCAAGAGCTATTACTTACGCCCTAGTACAATTTTTTGCTATTAGACAAGTACTTGCGCAAATACCAACTAGTCCAAATAGGAATCGAATAGGAATCTTATCTGTACTAGTTTGTATTTGCGCAAATATTTATATGGTGTATTTTGCGGATTGCTTGGCACAACTTCGCATAAAATTTCAAACTGTCATTTAGTGTTTCTTTCCATGGCTTCGCTTTCAGTGACATTTTTAAGCACAATTAGTGATGGCAAAAAAATTTTAATAATCGATTAATCGGTTAATTGATTAATCGAAAGCATTCGATTAATAATTGCAATTAATCGTAAGAAATTAACTGATTAATTGGTTATTTCGATTAAAATCGAAAATTAATAAAAACCTTTTAAAACTTATAAAAACCGACTTAAACCCCGTGTCAAAATTATAGTGTACGACAAGATTTATTTTTGTTATTTAATTTTAGTTATTTTTTTTAATATAGCTTATTCTTTAGCAAAACAAAATTATTAATACAAATGTATCAAAAATTAGCAAATATTAAAAAAAAAATCAACAAAAATTCCAGCTTTTTTATTAGGTTTCGTAGAAAGATTTTCAGTATGTACTTTTGTAGCCCATTGATTTTTAACATTTTTCTGTTTGGTAATGATGTTGCTAATTTTCTTCCTTCTTCTTAGAAAATAAAATGAAATAATGTGCCTGTGTTGTGATTTGTTAGTAGCTTTTTAGGTTAAGCTTGTGTTTGGCAAAAATATCGTATAAAAAATTTGCAGAATACGAGAATGTAAAAAACATCCCAACTTATTTTGAACATACATTATTGTGGAAGTAAAGTAGTCAATTTTTGATGATTTTTTTCGATAATCTGGAAAATTAATCGGTTAATCGCTCGATTAATCGAAAGGAAAAATTTCGTACAATTAAATCGTTAACCGAATGAAAATAACCGATAACAATCGGTTACTCGATTGATCGTGCCATTACTAAGAACAAGAAAATATAAAGTTTGGTAAATATGGGATAATTCCCACGCCCTCCATTCTTGTGTGCGGAAACACTAAATTTCACCCGATTTCGATGAAATTTAATTTGTGTTCTTTCCTTTATTAGAAAATCATAAATATTAAATATCGGGAAAATTTTATTACTATGACATCTACAACTCGTAAAAAATTCAGGCCCTATGATTAAATGTGTTAAGGGTATACTTCAGAATTACATAGGTTCAAATATTTATTTTCTCGCAATGTTTAGTATGTTTTAAATTGTTCGAAACATTATTTTCGCGAAATTATGGAAAAAGAAGCTCAAAGTCGTAATATTAATGAAGTAGAAAATTACATAGTATATTTGCAAAGTCACACGAAAAGGTTCAATTATATGCTCCAAAACTACATGAAATTCTTTAAAACATGCGCCTAATTTCAAGACCTGACGAACCGATGGTCACATTTTTCTACTGATAATTTTTAGCATCTACAATTCCAAGTCAAATTTTTGATTCGACAAAAAGGGAAAATACCACATACCTTCACCTGAATATTCAATGGCACTTAAAGAATTGACTACCCTTGAAAAAGAAACACTTCCTTCAATGGGGTCTGCGCCAAAGCCAACTAAACTAATTAGTCGGTATCGCGCCGATTCCAGTATTTCTCTGGAAATACTTACATACATATACCGTTCCTAAAGAGGCGGGGATAGTAAATAATGTGAAATTTTGTATATATAACTTTTCCTTTTCCCCCTCTAACCGGTCAAAAAAAAGACTGGACTACCGAAGAGCCGCTGAAAATCACTTGCTCAAGTAATTCACAGAGGTTGTACATCGATGAAATTAAGAACCTACCCGAAAACTTTAAAAAGTCATAGATAATAATGGCCAATATACTTGATCAAATTTTATTTTCAATAAAGAACATTTTTTTCAAAAATGTAGCAAAAACTTGCGGACACTTTTCTTAAAAGCAATACAACTTAGTCAAGCAAATATTGAAATAAGGGATAGAAAAGAGAAATATTTCAACATTGTTAAGTGAAGCAAATAACAACATTTTATTTCATTCGTTTAACAACTACCATTTACTCATGCGCTCAACCGCAAACCGCAACCCAAATGGGTGGCGAGCTCGGCTGCTAAGTAGGCAGCGATCACCACAACACTAACCGCGCCGCAACACACCTCATTGACAGCGCCGCAGACGAAGTGACTGGCCCACTGAATGACTAGCTGACTGACAAAGAATCGTATTAAATTTATACTGGCCGACCGAACCGAAAGCGCCACCGTGGCAGAAGAAATCAAGAAACCGAATAGCTAAGCCTCTATTGAGCCCCTACAAGGCGGTGTTCCCACGAAACAGGTTGCGTTTGTATGCTTGTGTGCAGTTCTCCGATTGTTGTTCTTCAAACTGATGCACGCAGCAAAGCATTTTGCCCATTCTTACATTCGAATTACCTTTGCCATCATAGTAACAACTTCGGCTCATAATGCACTCTCTCCCTTGTGCCCGCTTGATGGGGCAGTAGCAATCGTCATAGATACATACATACATTACTGCCTGAGAGGAGTATTCTTTAGGCTGTCTGGCCATGCAGTTGGGCTCCCAGGTGCACAGGAATTGCCATTTCAAAAATACGCTTGTAGCTTTGCAGCGTGCAATTCTCTACTTCCACAATAGCGCATGCGCGCATACATGCAGTTACAAACATACTCGTACGTGTGTACATATAAACGCTTTGGCTAGTTTTACTGCCAACAAATAAATGCATGATCACTACGGGCATTGCTGTTCAACACCAGTCGAAAAGCGTTGACGACTTTTTGTGCGCGATAGCCAAAAGCTATGGGCCACAGACACTTAAAAAGTTGCCAGCGGCTTTTATTTCTAGGCACGCTATGGAACAAATTGCATAGTTTTGTTACTGGTATGATTACTATTAGTTCCTGCATTTATACAAATACATTTTTAAGGTAATTGTATTATGCTTTTTGAAACGAATCTGTATTAAATCGTTTCACGCAATTACGTAGGAGTGTCTACCAAAGTATTTCTTAGCCTCGCCACAGTTTTATTCCAGTGAAAGTCCTCCTCACTACTTGAAAAATAAACTTTTGTAGAAACATACATATCTTTACGGGCGAGCGATAGATTGCCCGATTTTTAGTAGGCGCCGGTTTTGATCGCTGGACAGTGCAATATCCTAAATTAATAGACATTTTTTTCTAACTTTTCGGCAGGCTATTGCAAACTTTCAAGTGCAAGCATTTACTTCTGCCATGAAAAAATTTTTGCACAAAAATTTATCTATCATAATAGAGCGTAAAAC